TCAATTCCATAATAAATATTTGGCTTAGAACTTGGTGACTGTTTTCCTACCTGGAGACCTGGGGTCTCAGGGCCTCTCGAGTGGATGCAAGGGTCCCTGGACATTGTTCAGAGGAGCTGTTCAGGACTTAGTCAGGCGTTGGGAGGGAAGCCTGGAGGAGCCACTGCCGGCTGCTGTTAATCACAGCCTCAGGTGACACTCAAACCTACGCCACTCTGTCCGTGTGACAGCCATCCCTCAGGATGCCCCTATGTTTCAGATGATCAGCTTCATATATTCAGAGTGGGAAAACAAAAATAATTTATTGCAAAAGCTAAAAACCCACTGTATTTTCTTAAAATAATTAAAACATGTTCTCTATATCCAAGTGAGATTAATAATATTTCATTCAGATATCAGTTACCCATTGTGGGGCCAGTTTTCATCCTACGACTGCTCAGTTTTTTGTGGGGTGTGTTGTGTGTTCCTGCAGGTAACTGTGGGTGGGTGTGTGTTGGAGTCCCTTCATTGAAACTTGGAGACATCTGTGGAGAGTATAGTAACGTACTTTTTTAGTGGTGGAAACAATTTGTTTGTTTATCTCCCAGCTTTATAGAGATGTAATCAACAAACAACATTGTGTAAGTTTAAGGTGTATGTTTTGATTTTATTTTATTTTTAAATTATAGACAATAGGTGGAAGATTCTTCAGACAGTTATCATTTTCTCTTTGCCATCTAATTCTGGTTTTGTATGGGAGGTGGAAGTGATCAGGGGGCCTGGCAGCCTAGAAAGCCCCCACCATCAGGTAGAAGCTGCAGAGTATTTTTCTTTTGCCTGTCTGCTCAGCCACCTTGCTCTGCTCTTCAGAAAAGTAGCTGTGCACCTTAGAACTGTGGGGCATGGCCTCTAGGGGCCTGCAGGAAGGGGCTTTCTTGTTACTTGGAAAAGGTCCATTTTTGAGTGGATTTGGGAGGCATTAGTTTTCTACAGAGAAAGAATCTCTGACCCTGGGCTAGTGATCAGGAAATCTGGTTCCTTCTTTTGTGGCCACTTCCTAGCGACCGTTCTATCCAGGGCAGAGTCCCCACCCAGTGTCCTTTGGCAAACTGAGGAATGATGCTTGCTGACTTGATTTTCTCCTGCAGTGCTATAAAATACGTAGTGGTAGGCAGTGCTAACGTAACTATTTAGAATCTCCAGGGAGAGGTTTCTGCTTTCTCTATCCTTAACAGCTGATATTAAACATGTTTTTCCCTTTTCTATTTTACATATACATATGCTCTTACAGTTTAATGTGTATGAAAAAAATTAAAACTAATACATCACATTTCTTGAGTGAAAAGTGCTCTTTGTGGAAAAGGTAAAAACAGTGTTTTAGGATGAAAAAGCAACTATCATTTATTGCATCTTTATTATTCCAGGTCATGTGCTAATTATCATTTAATTAATTATCATTTAGTCCTCTTAGTACTACTATGAAGTATGTGTCATTATGCTCCCCATTTTACAGATGAGAAAATAAAAGAAGTAATTGGCCAGCAAGTACAGACTTGGGATTCATTCGATTGACTTCAAACTTTAAGCTCTTGATCCCTATGTTCTGTGGTGTCCCCAGATTTTGTATCATGCTTACTTACGCTCATGGCCTTATAGCTTTGTAAACCTTATATAGTCTTGCTTATTCCTTATTATGCCTTATCACATTTCAAATATTAATTTTGGGCAAACCAGTTCAGTGGATTCCTAAAAGATTTTTTTTTCTTATTTCTAGCAATGTAGACATGATCTCCTTATTATGCTAATTGGGGGCCTTGAATTTTTCTTGTGTTAGACCTGGGGTCTGAAAGGCCAGGAAGAGGCCAAAGATGTTCTCCTGGTAGATTTTGCATCAGTATGGGCCAGATGTAAAGATCATTCTCTTAAATGGTCCTAAATAGATAGTGTTAGTGTTTGGAAATTTCATTCACCCAGCACAAATATTGTTGCTCACCTAGTGTATTCTAGGTGGTGAGTTGAATAAGACCCAGTTCCTACCCTCAAGCAGCTCACAGGTTAAGGGTTAACAGGGAGAGATTTTGTCTTGAGCTTTACTGTTCATGAAGAGAAAAGCAGTGTGGGGATCCAGAGCACAAGCTTTAGGCAGATGGGCAGCATCTGACTCCCCAGCATAGAACTTGCTAGCTTATAACCTTGGCCAAGTGACCTCATCTCCCTCAGCCCCTGTTACCTCATCTGTACACTGGGGACAGTGAGCACTTTCTTCATAGAGTTGAGGTGAGGCTTAGGCGGGGGAAGCCCGGTAAAGTGCTTTGCATTGTACCTGCCACAGAGTGAATATACACTGTAATTGTTATGACTGTTATTTTAGCTTTCCTTTGTTTTGCTTTGGATTGTACAATTTGTAATTGATTAGTCACATTCTCAGCACATTTAATGGGAAGGATAGGAGGGTATCCTTTTTGGTTGTCAGGTTTTCAGTACAGTAGACAATCTTCATTTCAGGGAGAAGGACAGCTTATGTATTTTTTTCTTAATGGAGTTTTCATAGTGTTTATGCCTTAACTGTGATTAGTGAATAATTGATATATTTTAAATAATGATAATACATTGTCAATAGACAATACAATAGTGTTGTCAGGCACTATTCTAAGCATTTTATGTCTTAACTCATTTAGTTCCCGTAACAGTTCTTGGAGGTGAATTTGCTGTTGTCTGTCGAGAACTTTTTGAATGATTTGCATTCTAGTGGACCTTATTAAGTATAAATAAGTTTTCAAGAAAATATCTTAATTCCAGGAATTAATTTTAGGAATAAAAGAGTAAGTGGTGCATAATTTATGATTTTGCTGGATTTAACTAACACACCTGATGTCCCAAACCTGCTATTAATGAATGCAGAGTATTAATTTTGAGATTGACTTGAACAAATATATATTGAACAGTTACTACATGAATGATTCAACTGGAGACCCTGTAGAGGTTACAAAGATGAATAAAGAATGTTTACCCCACAGGGCAGATATACTGTGGGCATCATCTAACCTGCTCTCTGGTACTCTTAGGTTGGTAGTTACCCATAATAAGGGATGTGTAAAATTATCCACCCCTCCTCCCACCTTGCACCAGCCTGGAGGTCCCCCCACTGCCCCTCTGCATGGTATTACCAGCTGACTACACACCCAGGTACTGCCCACAGAGCAACTGTAAGAGTCGTGGGGTTCCTGAACCCCGTTTTGGAAATTACTGATTTACTGGTGACTTTTGCTTGATTTCACTGTTAAATATTTTCCAGATTCTAATGCGATAAGAGGAAGAGGTCAGAGAGGTAACATTTTTACATTATTTGAAAGTATTAGATGGAGTTTGTTGGCTTATGGTGAATTAAGGACTTGGCTATATTTAAGTAAATGTTAAGTAAGAATGATGTTTATTATTGCCTCTCATAAGATAGGAAAACCTAATTAGAGATAATGGATAATTTCTGGAGTGAGCCAGGATAATAGACCAGCTCCTTAGACTAGTTAAGCTGTTATGTTTTTTTAAAAAATAATTCCCTTATGTTATTGTCTCTACCCTTCTGCCATCCCCCCTTGTGAAGGGGTATTTGAGATACAGGGAGGTTGTTTGGCCTGGGGCAAAATACAGGTCTGTGACAGACCACGCCCCTGTCCAAGGCCCCATGGATTCTAGCTCTTTGTGACAAAATAGTCATGCTAATTCCTTAGGTATACATCGTACAGTCTAGTGTGTCGTTGCACACTCCTGGCAGGTAGATGTTATTAATAAATCCATTTTGTAGATGTGAAAATGGAGCCTCAGCAAGGGTCAATGATTTATCCAGACATGGAGTGACTTAAATAGCATATCCTAGACCCAGAGCTTCTGACTCTTTTCTTGTCTGTGCTCTGTCCGTGTGTTGTGCCTTCTCTTCTACACTAGGGAGTAGCAATGCATTTGTTATTTGTCTGAATCTGGGCAGATGCATTCCAAGTAGAAGGCGGTAACAGATTTGAGAAGTAGGTTGTGGGGAGGATATTCTGGGATCTTTTATTTCAAAAGGTACCAATAGTGTGTGTTTATAGCTAATTTTCTTTTACTTACTATGCCCACATTGACATTCAAATAGAAATAGTTGTTATAAACAAGATGATAAATATGGAGAGAATTGGACCCAGAGCATGAATTTGGAGTATAAGGTGAATTGTTGGTGCATGAAGTTGTCAAAACCAAGTCCAGGCTATTCAGCTTTCCTGGAAGTTTGAAGGGAAACTCAAGACATTAACCATGTTTATTAATTTAAAAATTTAAAGCCCAGACTTAGATGTTTAGGTAGCTTAGATACTTAACCCAATAATACATATATACCTTTAGAATTCATATGACCATGGATTTTAGATGCAGTACTTTTTTTTTTTTTTTTGGTGATGATGCAGTACTATTATAATGAGACCCTGGCATTTCCAGTATTCAACCTCAACCAAAATTCAATAAGCCCTCCTTATGCCATCTCCGTGCTCTAAGATAGTGACTCTCAGTGGCAGCAGAGAGGGGAATGTCAGGATTGTTTGAGGAGCTTTTTCAAACCCCACATGCAAACATATAATGTGTGCATGCTTGCACACAGCTACAAATACATATACTAAATTCTAGCAGGGACTTTAGAAAAGACAAATGTTTATGGCTGAAAAGCACATCTCAGAAATACAAAATGCCACAGCGAAGACAAAGGAAATTTTGCAGTGTGCCCATATTCTCAAAGGACAATATTCTCCTCTGTTAAATATTTTTGTCTTGTAAAAAGGCCGGGATGAATGCCCAGGAGTGAGTGAGTGTATGTCTGCTTATGTCTGTTTGCATGTTCCTCCCCTTCAGGTCAGTCATTGGAATTGCCAGGTATGCCTCAGACAAAGCTTTTGATGCTTCATGAACTGTATTCACAATTCTTACTGCCTTGTTTCATTGATCTAATCCCCTTGTGTTTCCCAGAACATCTCGCTTTGCCTCATTCCCTGAATACTTGGTAGTGCAGATAAAGAAGTTCACTTTTGGTCTTGACTGGGTTCCCAAAAAGTTTGGTAGGTATCTTTTGCATGCTTTTGCTTAAAACATCAAATTAGCCACTCAAAAAACATAGCATGTGAAAGAGCCCATGTGGTTGGCTTCCAGAAACAGTTACATTTCATTCATTTTCCATTATTCCCACCTTTTTCTCTTGAATCTGAATATATGATAAGCACCAACAATAAAAATTAGCACATGCTGACCCACTCATCTACTCATGGGTTTTGGAATGGCTGAATTCTGGGAGCAAAAAAAGGATCCCCACATTATCCAAGTAAACAGTGCTTTCCAAACATTAACGTGCATACCTGTTACCTGGGATCTTGGTAAAATGCAGGTGCTGACTCTGCAGGTCTGGAGCGGGGCTTGGGGCTCTTTGTTTCTGACATGCTCTAAGGTGCTACTCATGCTGGCCCAAGACTGCACCTGGATGTGCAAGGTGCTAATAAGATACTCTCCCCTCAGCATCTCTCCTTGGCCTCTGAAGCAGGCAGGTGTTGCTGATAACATTCACTGAAGTCACATATATTTTATTAATAATAAGATGAGTACAGTCAGTTGCATTAAACAGCTGAAAAAGGAATGTGACTGGCTTAATCGGGCTTTCCTCTTGCTAATTTTAAAGGCTCTTGACCACTGTTAGAGGTTAGTTTCCCAGACAATGCATAAAAACATTTTTTCCACCTACTAGCAAGGTGTGGTGAGGCTGTCATCAGTGCTCAGGAAGGATGTCCAGTTGTACCCTCTGTGGTTTCTCAAGTAAGTACCTCAGACTGTTTGCCAATCTTTTAGTTCTTATGTTTATGAGCACTTAAACAACTCAAGTCTTACCCTGATTAGTTAAGCACTCATCTGAAGGGACTAGTAGGAAAAAGAATGTAAACTTGGTAAGAATGATTTTCCAGAAACCTCCAGCACTAACAGTTTACAGAGCATTTGCCACATGACATATGCAGGACTTGACTGCTTCTGCAGCAGATCTTTGATTTTCCTGCCAGAATAATCTGTGTGCAAGGTGCTCATGCCTCAGCCTTTCCTCTGTAGTCCTGAGGAGTACCTGAGAGAGAAACTTGCTTCTGAAGACTTTGATTTACTTTGGAAACTGTTCTTATTTTTCTTTGTCCTTGGAATTTCCATAAAGGATGAAAAAATTTCAGATCAGATTTCATAGACTTGTAGAATTTAGTGGAGCCCCAAAGTTTGCTTTAATGAACCTGAATTTTTCTGTTGCAGAATAATTGTATTGATTTGTTGGTCAGACATGTTATTTTTGCTATCCTGAGATTTACTTTTTTTTTACTGAGCTTTCTTTGGGTTATTGTTTTAAAATAGGGTTTATGTACCTGGCATCATAACTGGTTTTGGGGATAGTATTTTCAGTTTCTGTTTGCCAGCCCACAAGACATACGCAGCATGAACATTTGAACCCATTTTTCATTATTATCATATCTGAATATATGCAGTATTAAGTCTCAACAGCCAATTAGACTGATAAATTTTGTATTTATACAACTGAGCTAAGAAGTTAAAGCCCCAAGACTAATATACTTGGGATTCAGTTAGTTTCTTTAAAACTTCATTCTTTGTTTATTATCTTAGGATAATCATAGTACCCATCACGATGTAAACAAAAGAATAAACTATGGGTTGCAAACTCAAGTGCCTAACAAGGACAAGGTGATAAGATAAATGAAAAAAGTGGGCCGAGCATAAGAAACACATACTTGGCTATCTCGGTCTTTCTTGGGTCTTCTTACTTTGGATAAAGACACAATTAGAACAACATTTATCTGCTGTAAGAATCAGAATAACCCAAATAGGATGCTCAGGATCAGGGGGGCAATAGGAAGTGGTAGGGAAATCTAGATTTTTAAATTAAATATTCTGACTTAAGAATTGAAATTTGTTGCCAACACTTTAAAAACATCAAACAGAAAGGGTCTGGGCTAGACATGGTCTATGGGCTACCTACCAGTTGTGACCCCTGGCGTACCCCATGTGTTTTTGTTCAGTGTGAAAAAGTACCACCCTCTGCACTTTCCCTGGTTCTCTATTAAAATCCAGTCCATCTCGATGAGTCTGCTAATCTAGCAGTCCACTCCAGGAGACTGGAAAGCGTACCTTAGCTTGGCCTGGACACGCGCATTGAGAGCTAGTGGCCCTGGTCTTAAGAGGTGATCGTGGGCTTTGGGAGAGTCCAGTGAATGTAACTGCTCTCATTTTGCAGATGTTTCTGTTGATATGCCAGACCTCCTTGACATCAACCATCTCCGAGCCAGGGGGTTACAGCCAGGAGAGGAGGAACTTCCAGATATCAGCCCCCCCATAGTCATTCCTGATGACTCAAAAGGTACCACCTACTGCCAGGAGGATGTTCTCTTACCACCCCCCCTTCTCTGCTGGAATAGTCTCTTTCTTCCACCACTCTGCTGTCCCTTGGCTGCTGCCTCCTGTGTTGTAACCCGCTTTCCTGTGTTGTAACCGTAAACTTACGTAGATGTGGGAGGAGGCCCAGACCCATCCCAAGAGTTTGAATGGACCTGTGGGAATCACTGGCAGCAAATCTCCAGGAAGTTTTTAGCTTATGTTGGCTCTGGCTTTGCCTCCTACTCTCTCTCTCCTTCCCCTAAATGGGGCCCAAAAGGGAAGAGGGAGAGTGTTTTCAGTAGACTCAGTCTGTGCCATTCTTGGGAGTACCTTTGGACCATCAAAAGGAGAAATTCAGCAGTGTGTGTTGGTTTTAAGAATCTGGACCATATTATCCAGATTTATCATTGCTTCATAAGCAAAGGAGTGGTTTGAGTTTCTCTTATGCTCCGTGAACAGTAAGTTGGTCATTGTTCAGAATGCTTAGCTCTGTAAGTTAAAAGGGTGTGGAAGGAATAGTTGCTTCACCTGCGTGGTCCAAGGACACTTGAAAAATCTTGGTTCCGTTACTAGCTCAGTTTTTCTGATGAAATCAGTTTCATCCTGGCTTTGCTCACCTGTTTACTGTTTACTTTCTCAGTCAGTTAAGAAGGTAAATTGACTAATAGTGAGAGCACTCTGGGCTCCTCCAGCGAAGGCTCTCCATCAGTTGAGCAGTGGATATTATTGGTGACCATGTTCAGGTTCTGAAGAAGGGAAAGGTGAATCCAGGAGGAGCAAGACAGGATTCAAGATAGGCGTTTATGTTACCTTATTCTCTAATGCTAAATCAAATGTTAAATTATGGGGTATGGAGAGTAGAGAAGGGACATTCAGAGTTATGTGGTACAGGCCATGCATTAAAGGGGTTAGAGGAAGAAGAGATCAGTATGAGCATCAGATACATACAATGTGGTTTATTACACCGCTCTTACTTTCGCTTATGGTCATAACAGAAGCCTTGGTTTGAATTTTAGAGTTCTTAGAAATACAGGGGGAGAAATGGTTTAGTTCATTAAGATAATAATTAGAACATCATGTTTTATTTGGCCTAAATGCCTGAAATCTGGTATTTTCTCTTCTTACTGTAATGATTTCATGTTCTGCAGGCTGGGGTGGTCTGTGTGGGGAGCTGAGGGGTTGACAAGAACTTGGGTCCTGAGGGGTGAGGAAGTTAAGGAGGGTCCAGAAGTGACTCTCTCTCTAAAACTGTTTGCTATGATTTGGTCTCATTTTCTGCCTTCTCTCTCAATTTCCAGATCGCCTGATGAACCAACTGATAGACCGTAAGTATTTTTGAAGTTTTTCTCAGTGTCCTGAAATTGATATTGGCCTGATACATTTATCTGTGGGAGTTCAGTGAAGGCACATTATTCTCTAAATGTGTATGTGCAGCTTTTGCTGGGTGGGAATGATTCTTTAAAAGTTGAGTTACAGCCAAGTGTAAACCAGTGATGTGGTCATTAAATGGCCCTGTCAGGAGAGGGACTGTTAGCATGAGATCTAACTAGTCCTGGGTTGCAAACTTGGCATTGCCATTTATGACCGTGTCACCTAGAATAATTTGCTTAACTTCTCTGAGCCTCAGTTTCCTCATGTGTGAACAGAGGCTAACGATACCATCTCTTCCCTCTCTGGCCATGTGAGTAGGCCTCTTTCTGCAATGATGGCAAAGCAGCCAGTCATTTTTTCCAGTCCTGATGCTGGACATGTAATAAAGACACACAACTGGCAGGACATGGTAGTATCAATGCTCTCAAGGTTATTAGTGTCACTGGGTTGTGTGTTAATTTTGTAGCCTTTTAGTTCCTTAATCCTGTGGGGGTTGATACTCTTGGTTTTTGAAAAAGAACATTAAAAACAAATTATAGTGAATATTTAGGTATTAATTAGTAGGAAGAGGGAGCATTTAACACTAAATACTCTGAATCTTTTTGTCTACAAAGCCTTTCTAGAAACATTATTGTTAATTTAGAAGTTTAAGTGTTTTATATTGCTAATGATTGATCATATGGTTTAGACCACCACATTTCCTTTCTTGAGTCAATTATGATTTGCTGATTGGTATAAGAAGCTGTTAGGGTCAACCAGCGTCTTGGGAAAACCGATGCCATTATAAATAATCTAATTGCAGTAACAGTGGCTGTTAATGCTTTTGAATAGTAACCAGAAGTCACATTGCATTTATTATTCCATAAATTCTTTCAACAGTGTATAACTTTATACAAAGTCCAAATTCTCATTTGATTATCACAGTAAGAAGGGCAAGGTGACCTTTTTACAGGGGATAAAACTGAGACCCAGGAAAGTTCATAGACCCAAGAGCTGGGACCCGAGCTAGGGCCATGAGTTAAGTACCTCTCAATTTTTCCTGGAATCTGAGAGGTTTCTGGCTACTCCTGATCCTGCAGAGACCTGGCCTGCAGGATCTTGCCCCGGGGGAGAGGATGGGCAGGTGGAACTGACTGTGCCAGCGGGGTCTGTCTCTGACCAAGAGCTCTCTGCCATTTGCCAGGGTTGATGGTTTGCCCATTGATTTCCTCCTGGATCTAAGCTTGCTGTCTTATTAGCAATTACCTTTATTCAGCAGGAGAAAATGGGATTATTTGGGGGGTCCATTTATATTTGCATTCTACCTGTCTCAGATTCTTAAAGGTAATAACTGATTATTTTATTATAAAAGTAAAATGATACTTAGAAACTTTGGATTAGCAGTAAGGGTCATCTGTGTTTCACTACAGTCTGTAACCACCATTAACATTCGGCATCTATCTTTTACTCTTCTTTACTGGTGTCTGGCTCACTTTATTTTTCACAAAAATGGAATTATATATTTTTGGTCTACTATGTTATATACATACGCACACTTACTATTGCACTGCCTTTCTTAAACTGCTTTCTAGGGAACATTAGAGTCTTCAGATGTTGAAAGGTGTTCTGTAGAAAGAGTTCCATAGTTTCTTTCCTGTAAGAGTCTTCGTTATAGGACTTTTGAGTCTTCACTATGCTAACGCACAGTGTGAATTTCTAAGGAGCGAGTAGAGATGTAGTTTTCAAAATTCATTTGACCATGGAAACTCCTTTTTTGTAGGTCAATACTTACATCTCTCTTAGAACACTAGGATACCCTAGAACACAATTTGGGATTAACTGGTATCCTATATCATTGCTTTCTTAAAATTTGGCCTGATAGGATGTTGTATGTATCTTTGTAAGGCGTAACTTTGATACACACATTTTCAGTATAATTTTGTAGAATGGATCTCTCTCTATTTAATTCTTCCAGTAATTGCCATCTTTGGCAGAATTTTCAGTAAAAACCTCAGGACATGGAAAATAAAAGGAATTTATTTTGTGTTCCTTTTCCCACTCCTGACCTTTAGTATAATTTGACAGCACTATAGGGGTGTGTATGTATACATTTAAGCACATGCATGTATATACATGTACAAATGTACACATACAAATCAAGAGGTATATGCATACTTGTATATGTGTACACACGTGTACATACACATACACATATGTGCTTACACATATACACACATCTCTATATTATTATGAAAAGAAAAGAAAACAGAACTCCCTGTGTCCAAGCCCAGGTTAGGTTTGTAAAATCTCTTAAACATATACAATCAAACACATTCATTCCTCTGTACTAACCATTTGGACTCTCCATTTTCCAGAGCTGATTACTTCCTTTGATTGTGGATATACCTAAAGGTCTGCTATAACATCCTTTGGGATTTAAGGAACAGGCTTTCTGGCCTGTAGATAATGCTTTTCTCTTCAAATTTTAGTCATAGGAAGGCTGCTGTAGAGGTCTTGAGAATGATCTGAGGCTGAAGTGGTTCTGGGAATACACTAAATCTCCCCATATGAAATTAGAGAATTGTTTTTCAGTGCTTGGATTATCCAGGTAATTACCATGGTTCCTGATTAGGTCAAAGATATACCCAGCCCAAATAACTTAATATTTGGATGGCTTTAAACAAAACAAGACAAAGTTAAACCACCTTTTACACCCCAAACAAAATGGGACTTTATCTTTGGATAGCATGTGTATAAGGGGGTGAAGTGAAGCTAAGAAAAGAAGAAAGAGTGTTTATTTTTTACATCAGAATATCCTGTTGTGCTCTGTAGCATCAGACATCGATGAGTCATCAGTGATGCAGCTGGCCGAGATGGGCTTCCCTCTAGAAGCATGTCGGAAAGCCGTGTACTTTACTGGAAATATGGGGGCCGAGGTGGCCTTCAACTGGATCATTGTTCACATGGAAGAACCAGGTAGGTGGTTGGTAAATGGAGTGGCTTTGGAGTCTGATGGGATCCTTAGTATGCTAAGTTTTGGTCCTTCCATGACCTCTGGATGTGTTCCAGGAAATGACTTTTTAGCTCGTAATTTAGCTTTTTAGCTCACTTTTATCTGCTGCTGTGGTGGAGGTACTTAGCCTGTGTGTGAAAGTCACAATGTTTGTCTTTCCTCTCTTTTTTTTTTTTTTTTGAGAGTGCATCTCTCATATTTATTGATCATATGGTTGTTAACAACAATAAAATTCTGTATAGGGGACTCAGTACACAATCATTAATCAA